GAGGAGACCTAACCTGTGAGATCTAATCGGTCTATGGGAGGTAATCGGCAGGAGGCAGTCTCTCAGGTATATATGCACATATTAAATTAGATAATTAGACTAGTTATTTATTTGTATCTGAATTTTTCAGGCTCTCACGTAGGATAAAGCCTTCACAGGATCTGCTGCTTGGGCCATTTAACTTGAGATATTTAACTTGAAATATTATGTGTGCAAATATGAATTGTTTGACTGGCTGTTGCCTTTTCACGGTCTTACAACACCATCCTATTCATGTCTTCTCCAGCAAACCCATGTAAATTTGTATAAGATTGCAGTTTTATGATATTTAAAAACATGTATTTTAAAAATTGATATTCAATGATTCCACAAAGTGGTCAATACTTAATTCTACTGTGTATAGTAAACAAACACTTTGAGCAAATAAACAAAAATGGTAAATGAATGTCACTGAAAATGAATTAAGAAAGTGAAAATGGGTCTGGCAAATAACTTTTTAAAAGGTTTGCAATATATTTATGTGTGGAAAATCATATTTTAAGAGGTTATAATTGCATTTACATTTATTCTTCTTTGTCAAAATGCATTGCTTTGCATATTATGCTTTGGGGATAGCATCCTTTTAATACTTTATACCCACATATACACAAAGCCATATGTCAAAATTCATTGGCTTAGCCAACCCAATTTCTTTCAGAACAGACCTTTGAAAGCAATAAAAATAATTGAGTTGATATATTGTGAAATATTGAGTGGGTGGCCTAGAAATTAAATGAATAAATCTGTTACAGATTTTCTAAGGACTACAGAGATATTATTCTGTTAATCTCTTTATTCCTAGTTATTTACAAATTGGAGGTTTATAAATTTACACAACTCTTAATTGTTATTGAACTCCAAATGTTTGATAAGTGTCCATATACAGAAAAGGTCAGCTGATTGCTCCATTTGCAAGATTGATCTATTTATCACAAGCAATTCATTTTATGCTCACTTCATTATTTTCCAGCTGTGAACAGATGAACTTGACCTACAGCATGACTGGCTGCAAGATGCTGTGGTTTTGTTCTGCCTGAAAAGCAAAACTCAGTTATATGGACTGTGTGAACTGGCACATAATTATTGTTGGAATAATTTTTGTACTTGAAAACTAATACTTGTATATTGTTTTTTCTCTTCCCTCCCAATCCATTTTCTTTCAATTTGTCTGCCATATTAGGAATTGTAAACTTAAAGACAGGGAGAATCTACCTGCTTCTTTTTGTAAGCTGTTCTGGAAAGCTTTTTTTAAGATAGAGCTTTAAGTAAAGAAACACATATCAATGTCTGTGTTTGTTGCCAATAATCTTAATGAGTTGGCCTTCATAGAAGGAGAATGTTTGATCTGAAGAGATACTTTTAGTTTTTCTTTTTTTAATTTCATAGTATTTGTTACACACACAGAGAGAGAGAGAGACAACACACACACACACACTGTACTGTGCAACAGAATGAGCTTCAGTTCCTTGCCCTAGCGCCTACCCTCCTAACAGTATGAAAGCATTCAAATGTGAATAGCTAAATAGGTACCACTTTGGTGGGAATGTATCAGCATTCCATGTGACTTGGTGTATAGTCATGCTAGCCACAAGACCACGAAAATGTATTTGAAAAAAGCTGGCTCCCTCAGCTTAGAAACAGAGATGAACATCACCCCCTAAAGTCAGATATGACTGGCAGGGAAATCTTTAGAGGGTTTCATCCTTCTTAAGGAAGTTCCAATCTTTAAAAATGATATAAGAGAAATTACAAGATTAACATTATAATAATAGTAAAACATTTGGAGCATCATTTGAATGCCATCTTTACTTGGAACTTTACTTGGAATGGCCTGCAAAAATACCAGTAACACCACCAAACAATAATATCTGCCTATCCCAGGCTTATTGCAAGGATTGAATAGGTGGATGAAAATGCACATCCAGTCTAAACCTTCATAACAATGTGACAAACCATAATAATAATGAAGAAGTTAAAGTGCTGTAGGATTTTATAATTCAAACCAACAGGCACCTGCCACATAACAAACACATTGGGTTCAACAACTCTCGATAAGAAAGACAAAAAAAGTCTGGATAGTGGACATAGCAGTAACTAGAGACAGCTGAACAGAAGAGAAAGAAATGAAGAAGATAACAAAATAGAAGAACCTGCAAATAAAAATAGAATGATTGTGGCAAAAGGAAGCAAATGTAGTACCAAAGTAATAGGAGCCTTGGGAGCAATTCCAAAACAATTGAGCACCACAGGAACGCTATCAGCAATTGACAAATTCACCATTAGACAATTGCAATAGGAAGCTTTACTTGGAACAATTTACATTCTGAGATTATAACTATAACACTATAAAACATAGATATCCGTCTATCCCAGGTTCTTGGGAAGGACTTGATAGATGGACAAAAATGCCAAATCCAGTATGAACATCTGGCTGACTTGTGATGAATGATAATAAGAGCAAGCTGTGTGAATTACTGTATTTTTCAGAGTATAAGACAGTGGTGGGATTCAAGCAGTTCGCACCAATTCAGGAGAACCAGTTGTTAACTTTCTAAGCAGTTCGGAGAATTGGTTGTTGGAAGAAATCTCCTTTTGATTTTTTCCCCACTTTGCAGGGCTAATCCTGTAAGGAAGGCAGGAAGGAAACATTCTGGTGTTNCCGTAACCTTCAGGAGACAAACCAGTGCTTGTGTGTGTGTGTGTGTGTGTGTGTGTGTGTGTGTGAGAGAGAGAGAGAGAGAGAGAGAGAGAGAGAGAAAGAGAGAGAAAGAGAAAGAGAAAGAGAGAAGAGAGAGAGAGCTACAGGGCCCCCTTTTCTGCCATGGAGGTATCCGGTGGTCTGTTTGCGGGGAGTTCTAGTGGTGCCCTGCAGAGACTGGGTAACCTCTGAAGAATGTCTGCCGAAAGGTTGGCTCCGGACGTGTGGTGGATAGCTGCCATTTGTGGCTGCTGTGGAACAGGAAATATGGAAAGCATTTGCTAATGAGGGACCGTGCCCGGAGAGTCTGCAGTGCCTTACAGTAACAGCACTGCAGGCAGCAGATTCTTTATTTTTGCATCTTGTCAGCCGGGCTCTTCTGACAGGGTGGATTTGATTTAAATCAGCTCGATTTAAATTGTAATTTTTTTCTTTTTCAAAGAGCAGCTGTCATCTCTGCCCCGCTCCTCCTCTGGCCCACTGTTGACTCGCAGGCGGTCCCAATATTGCAGAATATATACAGCCTCGTGCTACATAACTAAGCTCCACTTCATGCTGAACAATAACTAAATTATTAATGCATCTTAAATAGGAAACTATCTTTAGGTAGATTTCTTTTTTTACTCCAAAACCATTTTATTAAAATAAATGTATTAAAAAGAAATCCGATTTGATTTTCTTTAAAAATCCAATTTATTTTTATTTTATTTTTTAAAAAAAACTATTGATTTTTATCCACCCTATGTTCTGGACACCAAAGGGGGGAGGGAGAGAAATTCCAGCCCCTTCGGGGTGTGGGGGGGAGAAGGAGCGTTGCGAAGTCAAACACAAGTTGTCCTCTCTCTCGATGGGCAATTTAGTCCCGGGAAAAAATCTTTTTTTTGTCCTCTATTATTTTATCTGCACTTTCTGGCTTTGCGGGTGGTGGAGGAAGAACGAAAGTACAGAGAATGAAGCCCACCTGCAAAGCGGTGCCCACCACTTTCTCCTCTTATCTTTGTTGGGGCAATTAAGAAGGTTTGGTCGCTGGGTGGGAATCGGGGTGGTGGGGGTAAGACCGCTCGATGTTGAATTTGCAAGGTTGTTTGCGGGGTGTCTTCTGAGGACAGATGTCCCCTTAATCCTGTTGTGGTCTGCCAGTAAAGCTGGCAGCAGTGTCGGACAGTGAGGAGGTTGGGGAGGAACATGGGCCAGTCCTGGAGGCTGGGGAAGGCTCGGGCTCTGCGTTGGAGGCAGAGAGGGAGGCTAAGGCCATCTGGCAGTTCTTGGCTGCCTTCGGAGCTAGACAGCAGTGAGGCAGAGGAACAGCTGGAGCCTGTTCCCAGTGTGCGCAGGCACAGAGCTGCCAGAAGAAAAGAACAACTCAGAAACCAGGATCGACTTGGGAGTAAAGTCGCAGGTGGAAGGTGATTGGCCCCTCCCATAGGAAGTAAAAGAGGATCGAAAGGAGAGGGGTTTTTTTCAGGAAACAATTTGTTTGTTAGTTCGTTTCAGGAGTGTGGAGATCGGTCCGTGAATCTCAGAGACGCTGTGCCCAGTTTTTCCTTGCATAGTACCTCAGTTGAGAAAATATTTACATGGCAGCTTTCCAAGCTAGATAAGGTCTGTGGTCATAACTTCACCTTTGAAAGACTGTTTGCCAGGCCTTTGCTGAATGTGAATGGAAGGATTCACATTTGTTTAATAAAAGGGGATTTGTTGGGACCAGGAATCTGCTTTGTGCTTTTTTGGGAAATCTAGGTCCATCATGTGCATTGGTTGAATCTCCGCTTGGCACAGAGTCAACCACTGTTGACTTCCTCCCAGGACTGATGGACTTTGCCATCCGTGTGCCCAAAGGGGGCACAACATATTGCCAGAACCCTGGCTTTGCAAACTCAAGGGCCCCTTTTCCACCCCAGCATCTGTCTGACATCTAGGTTGACCTAGAGGTGGAGATTTTGTCTCACATGTGAGTTCGATCTGAGGTAGAGGCAGATATTTCTCTCCCCCCCCCCTCTCTCAACATAATTCAAATATAGTTGCTGAACAAAACTCCGCATTGGCGACAGGACGGGCATCTGGCCATTAAAACACACTGCTAGTTCCACTCAGTTGCTTAGACTCTACCGCGCAAGGGGTTAAAAGAAGATGATGACCTGCCTGATTATGAGATCAGCCCCCCCACCCCCCAAAAAATCGGTCAGCCAGTCCTCAAATTGAATTTATGTTTGCTAAATCTGTTGTACGTCACTTTTTCCTTTTTCTCCCTTTTTCTCCGCAGAGTGAACAGCAGCTGGACTGTGCCTTGGATTTGATGAGGCGTCTTCCTCCCCAGCAGATAGAGAAAAACCTCAGTGACCTGATTGATTTGGTGAGTAGGCGTGCATCGAGCGCACATTAGGCCCTTTCCTATTTTGCACAAGCTGCTGGAGATTTGATAGATCTAAAAGATTCCTCCCACCTCTTGCCCTGCTTGGGTTGGAGAATGAGGTTGTGGTTGTCTTGGCTCTGTTGATTTGTTTACATTTCTGTGATGACCCGGGGCCCGGCACAGATGCAACACAGGCAGCTGGCAGGTCAAACCGCCCCTTTTATTGCTCCAAATTTCCCCAAACGCTCCCACGTTTCTGGCAAGTCCCAGAGCAAAGTGATCACACACACACACACACACACACACACACACACACACACACACACCCCTTTAGCAGCCTCTGGCTTCAAGTAGTCTAGCACAATGGCTTCAAAGCAAGAAATCCAGCAGGGCAAGTGAGAGGAGTCCAGGAAGCAAAGGAGCAAGGCAAGTACCGTATTTTTCGGAGTATAAGACGCATCTTTTCCCTTCAAAAAAGAGGCTGAAAGTCTGGGTGCGTCTTATACACTGAATACAACATTTTTGGCCTCCCGAAACCCCGCCCCCTTCATCAAAATGGCCGTGCATAGCTTTTAGGAGGCTTTCAGAGTGCTCCTGGGGGCTGGGGAAGGCAGAAATGAGCAAAAAAATGGGCCGTTTTTTGCTCAATTTTCACCCCCCCCCCAAGCCCTCAGGAGCACTCTATAAGCCTCCTAAAGGCTATCTATGCCCTTTTTTTTTGACAAAAAACGGGCCCATTTTTGTGAAAAACGGGCCATTTTGGGAGGTTTGCAGAGTGCAAAAACTTTTTTTAAAATTTGCCTCTTCAAAACCTTGGTGTGTCTTATACTCCAGTTGCGTCTTATACTCTGGAAAATACGGTAATCCAAAAAGAATGCAAGGAATCCAGGAAAGTTCAAATGGTCGGCATTCAACACTCCAGCAATTCAGAGTTTGTTCCTCGACAAACGCCCCTCCCCACAGCGTCTCCTTAAGTCTCAGTCCCCAGGTGTGCCTTGTGAAGAGGGGCGGGGCGCTGTCTTCCTGAGTAGCCGGGGTGGCCTGCGCTGTTCTTGCCTTCTCTCTACACTCTCTGCTCGCGGATCAGGAGTGAGTGGTCCTTGCTCATCGCCTGGGCTCCGTCTCTCTCATGCTCATTGCTTAGCCTCTCTTGGTCATCCCGCCCCTGTTACTCCCTGCCTACAAGCCGTCCCAATCCTGAAAGTCCCCAGCTTGACTGGTCCTGCTCCTCCCCATTTTCCTCCCAAGCCAACGAAGCCTCCCCCTCGATCTCCGTCGCTCCTGTTCTGGCTCGCCTTCCTCCGCGGATTGAAGCTCCGACGGAGGCATGACGATTTCATCTTCCTGGGGTCTCTGCTCCCCGGAAGAATTCAAAACCCAGTGTGGGACCCCCCACTCCATTTGAGTGACCCGCCTTTGAGGTGGGGGGCCCTCGAAGCTGCCACCTGCAAAGGCCCTCCCAAAGCCCACCTTTCGTTATTTCTTTCTGCTTAACTAAGGAAGGCATGCAGAATCGATCGCTCTGGATTTCTGGCTGTTTCTTTTTTTTTTTGTAACACCGGTTTTACCCGTCTGAGCGGCGCCACCGCCATGCCGGCCTTGCATCTCTCCGCTCTTCCCAGTTTCAGGAAGGCCACTGAAGGTCATCCAAGCGAAAGAAACCAGCTCCTTTCTCTGGGACCCCAAAGGCCAAGCTTTATGTCTCCCACTCAGCGCTGGGCTCTGTGGTCCCCGGAGTTCTTTGGGGCAGCTGCCGACAGCCCCTGCCAGATGCGATTTGTGCTGACCGAGGAGAAGGCCTAACTTGAACATGAAACGCAAAGGGCAGCCGAGGCAGGCAGCCAGGCAGGCCGGGGTCCTTTCTGGGTCAGCGCCCCTTCCCCAAAACCCCTGGTGGGTGACCATCCTCTCGCCCATTATAGCCCAGCTGTCCTCTGCGGGCTTTCACGGGCTGCTAAGTTTGCAATTAGAGTTCATTAGTGCTCTTGTCAGTCAAAGGGTCTCTCTGAAGCCCTGCCTGGAAATAGGACGGTGCGTGCTGGTCTCCCCAACTCGGAGAGGAACGATTAATGATTGCTCAGCAGGCAGCTTGGCGGAAGAATTTAGAAAGTGGGGCTGCGGGACCTTTAGAGAGAGAAATGAGAGAGCACACTCCCTGCTAGTGGAAAGCATCGGAAACGGCAGGCACTCCCGAAGCAACATTTTGTCCTGGCTGTGTAGATTCATGCCCTGTGTGACTGAGGCACGCACACAGAATTTATTGTTGTTCTCTCTCTCTCTCTCTCTCCCTCTCTCTCTCCCTCTCTCTCTCTCTCTCCCTCCCTCCCTCTCTCTCTCTCTCTCTCTCTCTCTCTCTCTCTCTGTAAAGGACAGCATTGTAATTTGGCTGTGGTTTGTGTAAATAAGAAGGGAAAAGGACAGGAAGCTGAGCATTGAGCGCAGAAGCATTCAGGACCTTGGTCTGTATGCAGGCCACTAATTTTCCTCCCCTGCGGCTCAGGAGCCTAAGCCGTTGGCTGTGGATCTTGCAAATAATACAGAATAACAGAGTTATTCTGTTTTCCGACAGATGACAGTCCAGTCTCTTCCTGAAAGCTTTAGCCCAGATTTAACAGATTAACAGAGTTGGAAGGGACCTTATAGGTCATCTAGTCCAGTGTTTCTCAACCTTAGCGACTTTAAGTCCTATGGACTTCAACTCCCAGAACCCCCCAGCCAGCAGAGCTGGCTGGGGGATTCTGGGGGTTGAAGGCCATAGGGCTTAAAGTGGCTAAGG